GAGGGACGAGAGCGGGAAACGATCGCTATCACGGCTGCCCTCTCATGACCGCGTATACGGATAGCCTCCAAACGAAGCATGATTTGCGGAGGATAAGTTAGAGGCACTTTCGGCTCAACTGAGGCTTGGAGCGAGAATTTCTCGCTGAGGGGCAGCTCCCCGAGAGCAACACCGGATCATAATGTTCGGAAGAGACATGGGAGATACCCTTTCCTGATTTAGCAGGATGTCCCTCGTGCCCCCTCCCCCTATATCGCATCGACCTTGATCAGGGCCCCATGCATAGATTACAGGCAAGGAATGAATCGCGTATTCCATATAATCGAAGGAGATTCCGTGGAAGACGTCGCGACCAGCTCTGGGAGCGATTCATCGCCGCCGAGAGCATGGACGAGGGAATCAATACAGGCCCACAATTTGATAATTCCGCCTTAGCTGAGTTCCTCGACTCATAAATGAGTTGAAGAAGCCTACACCGGTCTCTGAGGACCCTTTTTTCCAACGATGTGCTGCGGGAAGGTGGTGTTGCTTCTCTGAAAACGTTCCGATTCCGTTTATCTCTAGCGCTGTCAGCCGGATGCGAGGAACGGTGTGAGGAATATCAATAGACCTATCCTTCTTTTATCGCTTGCGAGGAAGCAGAATCACCATCGGCAGCCTGAGGCAGCCATTTACCGGATGATGGAGATTTACATGGATCGGCCGCCTGTCGAGTAGAGTCCTTCCGTCCCGCTACGTGATAAATTCTGTTGTGTCTCCCAAAGCAAAATGGAGCCCGAAGAACCGGCTCTCTGTTCGCGACGGGAGCGACGCCTAAGGTACATCGATCGGCCGGACCCTGATGCACGGCCCGATTCCCTGTGATCAACCTAATCCGAACGCCTAAATCTAAACGCCGGACCCTTCTAGAGTTCGGAGCCCTAAGAGTGAGAGCTCGTCATTCGAATTCTACTCTGGGGGCTCCCCAACTATCGACGTTTCCATTGATCCCCCTCTCTTTCTTCTTGTTCCCGTCTTCGTATGACCGGAGCAGATCGAAACGACCTTTCCAAGAGGACCTTCGCTCGCTCACTTATCACACGATTGCGCTCTTTCGGTTGATCGGCTGCAACCGCTCTCGTGAAGGCGGAACCATTGCCGACTTTGAGGCGCCGCGCTGGTGTTCCTTCAAAGTCATCATCGTCGACGGATAAAATACTCGAACCCTCAGGATATTGTTGTTGTCGTTCCATCCGCTCCTCTCCACTCACCGCTCCCCGTTTCCCTCGGTGAGGCTGCAACCCTGTGAGCTACAAGCGACTTTGCATGCTTCCCTCTCTCTCTCTCTCTGGGACACCTCGAAAACTGGGGAGGGGGGAAAGCTCATACTTTTTTCCCCGCGGAGGAGTCTCAGTGTAAAGCTCCGGAAATCAGTTTGTTCCCCGGGCAAAGGCCGTGTAGGGGTCGGGCTCTCGGGATCCAGCGAGCGTTTCACAATTCAAGAGTGCACACCGCGAAATTGTCGTCGGCCGTCGGGCGGTTGTTCCCGTCATTCCACCACAACGATGGGGCATATTTCCATTCGATATCAAGTATCATAGATAATCCGGAACTCCTTGATTGGCAATCGTGCATCCTTTTCGATTGGAATGAGGTGTTTCGCAAGCTCCGGAAACGATCCGTGTGAGCATGGTGCCGACGACAGACTCGGTCACTTTGTGCAAGCATAATATAACTACCGTCCGCACTGCAAGAAAGAAGAAATACTACACCGACGTGTTTGGCTGGTGTCAGGGAGACGTGACTTCGGTCGGAGCTCCGTGTATCTCAATCAGTTGTTTACAGCACGCACCGACAATAAGTAATGGACTCGTGCGACATTTCCCGTAATGAAGATTGTTGTTGCTTCCGTTTTGGCCAAACAGATCGAGCGATTTGTCCGCACCTGATATCGGATTTTTAAGGCGAATTCCGGACGCGGACATCGCACAAACTCCTTCCGGAGAACGAGGAGCTTCTTCGAGAGAGTAAAGTACGATTTTCAGAGATTCGGACCTCGTCGGAAAGTCGTTCTCTGAACGGATCAGAGCCGGCTCGAGCTTTCAATTCAGCTTTCATATGCTGAGCTTCAGGAGCCTGCCGCGCTGATTGAAAGGATGGCGGAACTCGGACATCGTTCTCGTTTGCGGGCGTCCATGATCGCTCGGATAGACTTCGCGGGATAGGGAGATTTGGTGAGCGTTTCGACCTAATTATTAGCCCTCAAGCGTCGCTTTTCCTGTTGGAACGTTTTATCCGCTCTCGCTTCAAGAACAGTGTGGGCGAGGAGGGGATGGACTCTCAGGAACCTGGAAGACCGGAATTCGTTCGCATCTAGCGCGCTTCCTCCCCGCCGAAATATTCTCTACTCGAATCCCCATGAACACGGATTGGCTTACAAGACGAACCTCATTCGACCGTCCTATGCTGCCCGCCGTCCAGGCGGGGGGAAGGGTTATGGAGACCGTCGCCCCTGCTCTCACTAGACTAACTGTGTGTCTATCACGCCGAAATTACTCAACACCGGACGTATCATCCTGGGCAACCACGGAAAGCTGACGAAGAGAAGACGATCTCTCCGGAAGACCGACTTAGCAGAATATTTCCAGGCACCGAACTATGCCGATCCATATGAGCTGCTGGTCGACTTGCTAGCTCATCGCCCCATTTCTATATATCTAAGCCGGAAGATCGTCTATCTCAAGCTAATTTGGGGCGAACCTCTCCATCGCAACCCGGAGAGCTCCCCCTCGAGGATCCCGCTAAAATTTGAGGTCATGGCTGCGGATGCTCCTTGGAGGTCGGGGCCTACTGTCTATCGGGTCTCGTGCGGGCATCAAACATTTTCAGAGAAGTGAGGGGATAAAATAAATACATCTGAACACCCACCTATTGTTAGACTCCGTCGGGGTCATGTGTTTCGCTTCAAGCTCGAAGCCTGTGACCCGATCACAGACACGGCTCACAAAACTAAATTCCGCACCACAGATGGGGATCTGTTCCGTTCAGGCATTGTTTGGGATTTCCCCAAGCCTGAGATCGGCACATCGATCGCATCTGAGGTCGCATATCGCGGTCGGAAAAAAATGCTATCAGCAATGTTCGATCCTCAAATCAAGTATAGTAACGGGCAGAGGAATTATTCCAGGCGTCGAAAAAGCCTCAGCACAATGGGAGCCGTCTTGAGACGCTTGCGCCCGCGTCGAAAATGGTCTCATTAAAAGTTTTCCCGACTCGTTTAATGCATCGAGGTCTGCGATTATGGAGAGACGCTCGATCGCTCGGAAGGTCAGCTATCGCTCGAATTTCACATCACATCCTATAGGGGAAATCGACGAAGATCATCGATTACTTTTTACCTCCAATCACCTAGAAACTTTAGAGATAATTCACTTATTTATTAATGCGACTTGCTCGAGAGGGTGACTCAAGCTGTGAAACTAATTAAAAGTCGATGTCCCGCAAGAAGTTGCAGGCTCCGATCGTCGTCCCTTATGGAATCGTGATTTCTTCCAACAGCATCCTGATGCAAGTGACTCCTGAGTCCAACTGGAAATCCCCGGCAATGCTTCGGCTCTGTGAATGCTCCAAAAGGCGTATCAGCTCATGACTCATGAGGGATTAAGCCTCGCAGATCGTGACCAAAACGAAGACGCTATGCCCTATCAGGCAGGAAGACAAGTTTCATCAACGGCGGTAAACATCCGTCCTCTGGACTCAATCAGACTCTGTACGTCGCGTCGTCGGGAGCGGGCGCGAAGAGCAAAGTTTTGGACCGGAGTCTGTAGGAAAGTGCGCAACGAGCTTCTGCGGTCGAGCTCGAGAGGCGAGATGCAGAACATTCCGGGTTCCGTCCGCCGCCCACAATACTGGTAGGCGGCGTCCCTGTGAGCCCAAGGAGGCGCTAGGCTCAACTTATCGTCCTCGATGCAATGCTCTTAAGGTCGTCATAATCATACCTGCTGCACCTACGATATACATCTGTCGAATCCTGTCTTATGAATATTAGGAGTTCAGGAGTCGATCATAGGTGGGACCGCCTTGGAGAGTTCGCATTGACGTTGAAAGGGGGGTACTGGGAATATGCGTCGAGTCTCTCCAATTTGCCTGCCGTGAATCGGCATTGATTGATTCTCTCGTATGGCCCTCTCCGCGACCTGGGAACTTCACTCTGGCATTTCCGAATCGAAGAAGCTCATTGGAATAATACACCCACGGAGATTGACTGATTCAGTGTTTGTGTTGTGTCGATTGCATCCGATCGATTCGATGTAGGTTAACAAAGTCGGAAATTTCGCCGGAGAAGTGTCGGAGAAAAACGGTGCACATTGTTCGAGTCGTGCGATCGTGCGCCTAAACCCCGTCGTGAAGTGTTCGATACAGCTCCGAATTTCATCGCCTCTTGTTGCATCGTCTCATTATCATTCCATTTGACGTATCTTTTCCCGTATCTCGTTCAATCAATTTATCTGGGAATCCGGATTCCGACAGTCATGGGTCAAACTCGGCTCCCTGCATCTCCTGCCAGGATTGGACCAATCCTGATCGCCCGTTTTCCTGCTGAAGCCCAGTTCGATTGTGTCCCGATGAATTTCGAACGATCATCTCTGGGGGAAGGACATGATTCTCTCCAAACCGACGATAGAATTGACTCATTGTGGTTGGGGGAACGACGCTCCAAGATTGTAGCTCCTCGGAAGATTGATATACACAATGAATGCGGATCATATGTTCAGCGGGTGATATCATCCATACCCTACGGTCGGATGTATGGCGGAGACTTCAGGGGACGGCAAAGGGATCTGGGACAATGGGCGTTGCGATTCCCCATCCCCTGCCGGCGTCACAATTCCTATCTTACTTAGCTCGATTCCGATGCAGCACACAGAATTTCGTGGGAAATAATAAGAGAGAAGTATCACGAGCAAGAAGGCCCTCTTTCATGATCCTTGGGCTGGTGAGGTGAGAAGAATAATTCTCAATTAACCACCGTGATAATCAATCGAGGAGCTTTATTCATCTTGTATCCGATTTCCCGATGGAATCTCTGAGATGTTCAGCTCCCTGGGATCAAGCGTGAAAAACTTTTTGCTTAGACCAGCTCGCGGTACCGTTTGCCCTCCGGGCATGTATCCCCATATCCTCGATAGGATTTTCACATTGTATTCAGGAAGTCATTGAAAACCTGCACGGAACTTCAGAGCAGTATTCCCAGAGGAGAACTCCTCCGCTCCGGGGCGACGGTCTGCGAATAGTTCCCGGCGCGACGCTCCCTATCGCTGACAGAAACCACTTTCCGTCGATCCGCCAATATTCTGCCTCGAGTGAGTATTCCGGCTTCGAAGCTGGGTCGCATTCCGTATCGAAGCCATGCTGTAAGCATTTTCATCACATATAGCTTGGTCCTCGGAATAATGGACTCATCATGATTCTCGTCGCTCTCTTGCGCCAGCTGATGTAATCTGTTTGGGCATGCTAATTGTCCTGGAGATCCATCGAGTGTCACTCTTGACTAGGTCCCTCTCGCAATGAGCGAGTGTTCTTGAGACAGCAATCAGATGTCGCGCAAAATTATACATGGGAAGCTCAGCAGCGAACTATGCTCCCTCTCTGGGAAATCGCCTCCCTCTCCCTTTCGACTTATTATGAGCTGAGGCTTGTGAGCTAGACTATCATTGATCATCCTCATTTTCTTCATCGTAGTCGTCATCGTCCTCTTCGTCATCATCGTAGTGCATGACGAAGCCTCGAGCTTCGAGATCGATTTTGGCATCCTGAATTTCCTGGCGGAGCTCGCTTGCTGCTGTATCACAGTTGTTGAAAGAGAAAACTCGCCACATGATAACGGTACCAGCGAAGAGCTGGAAACGAACGGGAATAGCAATAATAGTAACCAGAGCCTCCCTCAAGGAATAGGGATATTCGAATGATGCTCTCCGACATTAGTAAATGGTAGACGATGAGAAGGTAAACTTACCGCGAACAATGCCATGAAGTATATGGGGAACTGAAAAATTATATAATTCATCAGCGAGACATCGCTCAACCTTTCCCGGGACTTCCAAAATTCGAAAATTCTCTTCATCATTCAAAAAGCTACCAAGCTCATGAGATTCGGCCAGAGAACTCTCGACTCCGAAGTTCTCAGAAGAGCGCTCCTCATGAGAAGCGACACTTGGCGTGAGTTGGCCTTTGCGGCCAAGTAGAATCGGAAAGGATTCGCTCCTGTCGACTTCTCGAATTACTCCATTGATTCGCTTTAGGATACAAGTTATTGACTCACCAATAGAACTTGTCTCTCTTGACTCTCGGTCAACTTGAACCAATACTGTGAGAGTACGGCACCCCAGATAGCCGCAACGACTCCGCTGGCAACCACCCATTGTAGGAGTTTCGTCATCCTGATCTACTTGAACAATTTATTGCAATACGCGAACATGTACCGGAGAAATCCGAATGTCCACACTCCTGTAACGTGGATAGCCGCATCCCGGCGCTGGCATTCGGTCGCCGTTTCGAGGAGATGCTTTGCTGTTCGAACCACCGGCCGCCGGTTCTCTCGTACGAGGAACAGGTATTTCCGAGCTGTATCGAGGAGTCGTCGAGTATACATCGAAACGCGTCGTCCATCCTTGTGAACACAAAGTCTCCTGCCAGCTGCCAGTATCTCGAGAAGTTTCACAGGCCGGCTCTGATCTCCCTCAACAATGAGTTATGGATGAGGCTTCTATGCTTCTCGCCGGCGCGGTCTTTTCAACGACAACATCACCATCTCACCATGTGATAGTCCCTCCGCGCAGATTGGAACACTGCCTCAGTCGGACGGAGGAAGATCGGCAGCTTTGTAGAAATGGAAGACCCGCAGCCACCGTTAAGTTTCGCAGAATTGCGGACCCTGGTTATGGATCCGGATCGTCCGAAAAGAATGTTCCTATCGACCGGGATCGCCTTGCCCGGCGCGAACGTGATAAAAACACCCGAAGAGGTAGAGCTCGAAGATCATTCGGACGCTTTGATCCATATCTGTAATACTCATGTATCATTCATGATGGAGTCCATCCGGAGGTCGTCCACGCTTGCGGGTTGTCTAAAGCTGTCTGTTCTCATGTCCAGGTACGCGTCGAAAGGTTTTTCGAGTCGTGCGTGTTCAAGACCGGTCTCAGTTTCGCAGCTGGCGGAGTGTTCGGCGGCGCCATGGGACTCTTCGCCTCTTCAGTGAATCCAAACTTCACGATCGATCCCGCCAAACAATCCGTGAGAGACATTTTCAGAGAGATGAAGACGACTACTGTCGGGTACGCGAAGAATTTCGCGATGGTAGGAGCAATGTTCGCAGCCGTAGAATGCACTATCGAGAGCTGTCGTGCGGTACGTATCCGTCCTCCATGAGCCCCTGTCTGATCGTCCATGCCTCAATCATGACAGGAGTTGATCGATTCTCCGAGCCCGTCATTTAGATTTGATTCAGAAACTCGATAATCGGATTCTTTCCCCTTCAGACGACCGATTGGAAAAATGGCACCATGGCTGGAGGAATTACTGGCGGCTTGATCGGTCTTCGAGCCGGTATCAAGCCGGGAGTGGTCGGTGCTGCGGGTTTCGCAGTATTCTCCACTCTGATAGACTACTACTTCAGGCATCACGGATGGTGAATCGTGAACTCGTAGAGCTAGGCACAGTTTTCTATTACGGGGCAATCACGAGGTGATGCGCCGCTTCTTTCTCAAAATGAGAACCCAATGTACATACTCTGTCAATAGATTTTCGCATCGGAGATTCAGACACCTACTCCTTGTGGATATAAAACAAATCGTGGAAACAAATCGTGTTCCTCAAATTTTCACGTCAATTAGTGAAATCTGATCTCTCTGATATATCGAGGGGTCTTCGATCAGATGAGGGTTCATCTCAGAATTCTGACACCGACAGAACTTACCTTGCGGCGACGCTCCGCTTTCTTCCGAGACTCGATGCTTCTTCGCATATTCCATCGGCAGCCGGGCTCTGTTAGGGTCTTGACAGGGCCTGTACTGATATGATCCAGAATTCTGTCGGATTCGAGTCCTCCGACCTGTGGTAGGACTCCAGAGTTTTATTCCTGCTCGATCGCCATTCGTGCTCCCTCGCTGTTGGGCAGAGCTTTTGATAGCTTGAACATTTCTTCGATAAAGCGGGGTTTCGGGGAGAGAAGATGAAGGGCATCGGCGAAGGGCATCAAGGGACGGGTACGAATTCGCATCGATGGATTCGCGATAATTTATTCAAGAGCATGAATAGAGCGTCCAGGCACAATAAATTAGAAATCTACAGCTAAAAATATTCACTCCACGGCCACCGGGGGTTTTCCGCTGACAGTTTCTTGCTGGGTGATTTGAATCTTCTCCTCCTGGAAATCGCCAAGAGAAATTAGGAAAATTGTGTTAGGATTGCCGAACGCCTCCCCGAGTTCGCAATATTCTGAGCGTAGGTCGTGAAGACCGATCAGAACATTCCAAGTCATACCTTCTTCTTCGGTGTAGCTTCGGTGGCGGGTTTCGGTGTCGTTTTGATTTGTTGAGGCGCCTGCGCTTTGGTCACAAGCTGAGGCTCGGATTTGTCTCGGGCGGAAGCTTCACTTTTGGGAGCTTCGGTCTTCTTCATCGGCGCTTCTTCCTTCTTCTTGGCATCCATGTCCTGAAGATATGCCTCAAAACTTGAGTCTAAGAGTTCCTGACGTAAACATATATAGGTATTCCTTTCTTCGACTGCTGGTCCCCGGGGAAGAACTGACCTTCTTCGGAGGGACGGTCGCTGGGGCGGATTCGTCGGCTTTCTTTTCTTCCTTCTTGACATCCTTGGGTACATCTTCCAAGTCACCGCTGTAGTGTGCAGGGAAGTTGGACAAGGGATGAGATTCCACCTCGGCCAGGGGGAGCGCGGGGCGAGCCTGGAAAAGATACAGAAAACATCAACGAGTTAATGATTAATATCCCCAGCGATCCGGGAATCCACCACCTAGCCAGACGCCTCGATGGTGTTGATTGAACGATACGCATGGACGAAGCCTCCGAAAATTAAGCTCACGTCGAGATGGTCACTGGGAGTGTAAATTGGTCGGTTGTAGAGATATCCGCCTCCGTTACGTAGTCCCGGTGATTGACGACCTTGTCTGTGACGATTCAGCATCTCATACTGGCCGAGAATTCCGACCGATCTCATCTGGAAGCCGAATGGAGTCCATGACATCTGACATGCGGATTAGGGAGCTCGAGCATCCAATCGTGATTTTCTGGATAATCTCACTGACTCACTTTTCTGTGCTTGACGTAACCGCCCTCCTCGATCAAATATTTTTTCGGGAGCGAAGGTTTTCGCTGCTTGACCGGGGTGCCTTTCTGCATCTGAGTGGCCCCCAAAACCACTCCCACCAGGGCGCACAGCAGTATGACCAACCTCATGTTGGAACTCGGTCCCCGAAAGCTGAAAACGCACTTACATAGATTTTCTTTCAATCGACGACACTCAGAATATGCGCAGGAGCTAGAATACTTTGAAATGTCCGGATCATCTTAGATTAGCGGCGAGGTTTCACTCACGAAGTCTTGAAAGCTTCTCGAAGATTCGGTTTTCCTGGCTCCGAACTCGCCTCGGTGCGTCGCGTCCAAGGCGAGTGGTGGACCACTTCTTGTGTTGGATCCCGTTGCTGGTGACCCCTCTTAGCGTCAAGAGTTCCAGCTCCCTCTCCCGGTCGAAGTTCTGCGCGTTGTCCGTTAAAGGAATCTATCAGAAAGTCTGATTCAGAAGACGGTGCCTGGGGGAAGCCTTACTTTTTTTCTCCCCAGTTGCCACGGAAGACTTCCTGCCTGCGTCAATTTATCCCCCCATGACTCCGCCATAATTCTCGCGGGTACATACAACAAACTTCAAGCTCTCAGACTATTTTTGAGTGATACATGACGCGGAAAATCTCGGAACTCGCCTCTCTAGCATCGAGACTGATCGGCGGCGTTCAAGAAACCCTGGCGAGGAAATTCGCCGTGGCCATCCGATCGCGCAAACTGGTCGAATCCCTGAAGTAGATGCTTGTGTGACACCGCACCGGACCGTGGCGGGTCATTGACTCCCGAAGAGCCAGAAGCTGGTTGTTTTATTAGTAAAGTGATGAAGTCTTTTTGACGGCTCCAGAAACGTAAGTGAAATGACTCCGAGACCCACATTCCGAGAGCCGGAATCGGGGCCTCCCTATGTGCGATGTATGTAGTCGACTTACCACAATGTCGCTCGATCCCCGCTGCCGGATCTAGAGACGATAATTGGAGGCGTGTCTGCATATGTGCGGGCGATTTCATCACAGCTTGGAGGGGGGCGTGGCATCACAATTTCCCGTGCGGCGGTTTCGGAGTAACCGGAGACCGATCGAGGAAGAATTCAAATCAAGTCATAGCATTTCATTGTCTAACAATCGCTTTGTAGGGGGAAGATCCAACATCGCGTTCTTAGGTCGGGAGATGGGCTGTTTCTGGGAATCATGAGGAATTCTCGTTGGGGCGGGTTCCAGCAAGGAGCAGAGGATTCTCATATTTTTGGTGAAACTCTTCCTGATCGCACAGGATTCCCCGCTGCACGACTCCACTACTCAAGAAGAATTGCGTACTTTCGTCTTCGTCCTGCCGCAGTCTCGGCGAGCGACTTCTCAAGTCCCAAGGGAGAGCATAAATCATGCGGCTCTGCTCGCCTTCGACTGGGTATCTCTCTCAAGGGATCGCGGGACTCATCAAAAATATTGTCAATTATTACCGACCATACAACTGACCACCCGACTTCTCAGCGTGTCTCGAGCAAAGTCACTTTTCCAAATGACGGCCCACGACGAACGTATCATCAGAATTTTCGCGGATTATCTTGCGGCCGCGACAGCCGCGCTGATTCTCTCGCTTTATTCGAGATGGCTTTTGGCCGAAAAAAATGTACTGGCTCGTCCAAGCCCGAGCTCGGGTTCGACGTTCGATCGCTTGATGTTTTGCACTGCGGGGGGTCAGGGCCGCACGAAATTTCTCCTCGCAGGTCATTTCGAATCGAAACTCGCTACGAGGGTCGATCATTCTGTCCTTCTTTGAAAAAGTAAAGCTCTGACTGAAAAGGCTCTTGCGGGGGTTCCCGGGAGTCTATCCGGGAGATCGGAGAGTTTCGGGAACCCCGAGAAGAGTTCTTCCGGAGAGTCGTCGTTATTTCTACGGAAGAAAAAGACGATTTGTAGGTCAGTTCGAATCCGCATGCCCTCATCCAATCACAGATCACGGATGATCGTTCCGTATTCCGAGGCGTCGAAATGAGGTGTACGGAACGCCACCGGATGTTCCAGGTGTGAAGAAAACTTTGAGGACTCATCGAGGGTGAAGCAGGATACGTAATACGTACGAGAGGAGTTGTCTAGAGGAGCAACACTCGTATTAGCGTTGGATGTCAGAGCTATGTGCCACATATTGGCCAGGGGCAACCGCTGATAGTCCTGGAGGTCGGAGCCACGAGGACCTGCGAGCTCCAATCGATCCTGAGCGGGTTTGTGCACGATTGGACCGATTGTAGGGACACGCGTTGCTGAGGAAGCCAGAGCAAATCCTGGATTACAATAGGTGAATGCGGCGTGAGCACGCAACATGCACCGAGCTCTGTCTACATTCGTCCTGATAGATTACATGCTCGCTCCGTGTGACGTTCTAAGCCAATATCAGCAGCTTCCGCGGCGGCTGCGGCCCAAGACACGCTCCGTCGCTGACTGCGGGCTTCCGATTCTTCTGCGCACTTCTGTCCGACGATTCTTTTCTCAGCCGTGGCGAGGGAGCGGCCAGTCGGTCAGCCGTAGAGTAAAGTGTCGTCCTTTTCGTAAGGAATGCTATTGAGCAATTGTGAGCGACGACGGCGGGGTGAGTTAGTGGACTCGGAGCCGAGGAAGCTCGAACTCTTGCTTCGTTCCTCGGCGCTGTCATTGTTGAGGACGAGATTAGTTCTGTGCGTAGAATCCTTTTTTCCTAAATTACATCTCCCGTCGTGACAGCGAGCAAGAGGACCGACGTCCGCTCGATGCGATTAGGTCAGCTGCAAGAGTTGGCTGCGGAATGTGAGGAATGCTCTCGCGAGAGAAGATCGGGACACACCTTGACCAGAAGCGCAACTCAAGAATGTTCGAGAGGAATTCCGCAATGTTCTCGAAACAACCATTTCTTGGATTTCCGCGTGGTTTGGCACTGTAAAGGAGTAGTCTGCATTTCACTGTTTGTCGGCCGCCGCCGCCGATGGATCCTCCGGCGCGGCGGTATCATCACAGGACTGATTGTGAGGAAATATCCAACAACTGAAGGAGCGAGATCCTCTTGAGCAGAAGTCTCGTACCGGCGCCGGCGTATGGTCGAGAGGTCAGAGCAATCCTCGTATCGCATGTTCATTCGCATTGACACATCGCAACACTCCTCTGATGAATTGGGGAGGAAGCGGCCGCTGTTTCACGAGATTCTCACGGGAGCCGGCTACTCTCCACGAGGAGGGTGATTTTTTCGGTCGTTTTCTTCTTCCATGCTCATCCATAGCGTATGCGAGAAATAGTTCTGGACTCCGGGGCCGGCCGTCAGGAATCGTCCCTGTCAGGATTCCAACCAGAGCAGGACCTTGATCGAAGCCGCCGTCGCATCCAAAAGCCGATGACCCGGGAAGCCCCAGCGCAATGCGGTCGAAATCAGGCAATTAGACATCTGAATACGAGAATCCACTCGATCGACCGTTCTAAGCGTCGAGAGCACACCGCATCGGCAGTGCGACGCGTTGCGTATTCTTGTAATTCTTCTTTCTTCCTTCTGGATCTCAAGGAGAGTACGATCGATTCAACCTCAAATCGGAGAATTTATTCAACTTCTATATCATTCTCACCCTCAACCAGGGGGTTGCTATGCCATTCCGGGCAACCGTGAGAAACAATCTTGGGAAATCAATGAAATAATTTACCTTAAGTCGGAGAATCGATTTTCACGTAAGCACTCGCGTCTCTGTCGTGCTCCGAATGCACGGACTTCCACGAATTGAAAATGGCGGCCAGTGGAGCTGTGGCGCCCTCTCTCGATATCGGAACGCGCGATATTACATGCTCTTCCAGGGTTCGATCGCTGGAAAGTTGTTCCCGACTTCGAGCGACTCGCCTCTGACTGAGTAATTAGGCGTTCGTCGACGGCTTGCAGACTTAGTACTAAACTTGCGTTGAGAGCTGAGTCGTCGAGGGAAATTAGGAGACTCTCCTTAGACCATCTGACTCGTTTAGATCTCTCTCTCTCTCTCTCTACATGGGAAGGGAGATGCAAGCGGATACGACGACGACCTCGTAGCATTGCGCCCCTGGGACCGAGTTGCTTCAACTAATTGCGTTCAACTTCTCCGACCTGCAACTACCAACGGAAAAACATTGCTGCAATACGAGAGCCGACTTCGGAATCGAAGATTGCTCCGGCGCAAACCGCGTCTACATCGCGACGTAAACTTATCATCCGAAGGGATTCCGATTGCGGTTCCTTCCACCGCAGAATTCAAATGGATGAATGCACGGATCGGGATTCAGATGGACGCGGCACGAGCGAGACAGCGGGAGATTCGGCACCGACGAGCGAGGACCTGGAGAAGTTCCATTCGACGTCGAATGGCTGTCGGCGGCGGATCTTGTTTAGCAATCCCATTTGTCGGAATGGACTCCGCAATGATTCGAGATGACGCAGTGGACGTCGACGTGGCCCTCGTAGATACGAGAAGTTCAAGAGAACGTCCGCGAGACTCGAGACTTCTCCCGACATCGTCCAAGGGATAGAGAGCCATAGAATAAATCTCCGGAGTCGTATCCTATTCGACGCTCAAATTCTTCCGCGTCTGTCGGAGAGGCATTAGTCTTGAACGCCAGTTCGCTTTCGAGCCCTAACAGGAGTCGAGTCTCGATCGCAGCCTGGGTCGCAACAGCGATAGGACCGCTGCAAGTTCAGATCCGGGGATCCGCCATGCAGGCAAACCAGCTAATTCGGACGCCTGCGTACGAATACTCGAGGCCCTCGCCGACCGTCTACGACAGCGTCTCTCGGAGCTTTCAGTGATAACTCGCTTTCCGAATGGCGATCGATCATAGCGGTCATCAATCTGATATCCGCTGCTTTTCTTGGACGTCATCGAGAACAGACGAACTCCGGTCAGGTTTTTGTTGTCTTCCCCCGAAAAGGCGTGGACGCTCAAAACCATCGGAGCTCATCAGCGCGTAGAGATTAAATGGCGTATATCGGTGCTAGCTCGCGAGTCCATCGGCGGCGAGCAGAAATTAATGAAGCCTTAATTAAAAGTTTCCACCGCGATTATCACCCGATCATCCATCGTGACCGTCTCAGCGGATACGTGATCATCATCTTCGGCTCCGGTCGCCAAACTCTCGTTCAAGAACCAAGGTTCCCGAATTCAGTCAAGTCATCAATTCCAAACTGAAAGATCTCAGAATTTCAGCGCAGTCATAGTTGAATAAAGAAAGTAGTTGAAGATTCTCTTCTGGACTTGCTCGTTTCATCTTCCGATGAGTCGATTGTCTATGGGTTCAGTCACCCGTCACTTTTGTCAGAACTCAGGCAGAGGTATTCAATACGAAAAAAACTCAAAATGAGTCTTGAAAAAACGAAGATCTTTCATATCAGTCAGCGAAAGCAGAATTCATCTCCAGCTGCTCAGAAATATGCCGGAAAGACAAACAAACAAACAATAAACAATTGTTCAGCGACGATGCTTAAAAAATGAAAACTCTCGACGTCTGCCGTGTCGGCGGAGAAGGCAGCCCGTGAGCGGCGGAACTCTCTCAGAAGAAAAACTGAATTACTGAGTCCGGGCCCTGATTTTTTTGATGAGATCGAAATTAACTCTCGCGCTCCCTCGAAGCACGAGTATATATTCAATTGAATGGCGAAGAAGCCGGGCTGCTCCGTGAGCTATCGCTTCCTTCAGAGATTTCCGGGGAATTGTAAACTCTGCTCTCGGAAGCGGAGTCTTCATCGATGTCAGGGTCCTGCCGCGATATCATCAGCGCCATCTCGTCATTGTAGCGTTTGCGATCCATCTGTGCGGCGATATCGTATGGCTCCCGCTCTTCGGAACTCAGGTTGTTCCATCTAAGGGAGCGGAGAAAGGCTTGAGCTCGCTCCTCTCACCCCGAAAACCGTTAGACTATGTGAAGATGATATCGAGTCTCCGAGCTTAGCGATCCACTAGGAACTACGACATACCTGTTGGCCAATTCTCGAGTCAATTCGATGTGCTTCAATTCAGGTTTTTCGAGATGTACGAGAGGTCTTTTCTCCCGACAGTACACGAAATAAGCTGTCAGTGGTCTTTTGGGAAGTCGCGAATTTCTAGCCTGTTTCCGAATCCGCGTCCTGCCTCCCGACCCTTGCTGTGAGCGAATCGGGACTTCTTGTATTCTATGAAGCAGCCCTCGGAATTCTGTGCGGGAGCTATGAACTCGAGAGAGGTGAACATGTACGAATGAGGGCTGAAATCATCTTACTCTCGGCTGCGGTGAGAGCGCGGTCTCACTGTTGTTGAAGTACGATCTCAATCGAGGTTCCATCGCGAGCCAAGCATCCATGCAGCGTGATGTGAGCTCATCGTGGACTTTCTCTAATGCATCGTATCCACTCAAGCGAACGAATTCGCCTTCCACCTGAGTTATAAAAATGTCCAGCCCCGACATACTCGATTCGGAGAGGAGAGAACGTCTCAACAGACTCAATGGAAGATAACGACGTTATTATTTGTCTCATATCCGTTAGATTACCTAGGCGAACGTCCAGGCGGACAAATCAGATTTTTCGAAGTCATCGGTCTCTGGTGTGTCTATTTCTCTTCTTAGCGACGGCTGATCGATGGATACTCCCTCGGAATTCCCTTCCCAGTGATATCTCAGACTCGAGCGCTTCGCGCTGCGTGATCGGAACCGCGTCGAAATAAGCACGAATCATTGCTTTGCATCGCTTTGTCTTTCTCGAGGAGATGCCGCGAGGATCGCTCTTCCTCATCCAAAACGCGGGGTATTCTGACTTGGATTGATCCTGACCGGAAGACGAAGAACAACACGTGATCATCCACTTGACGTCCACTTGTCATTGTCTTCGATACACCGCGTTGACTTTGACTTCTACAGCAGTGCAGTATGAAGTTGCCGAATGCGAGGAGTCAAAATGAGTCAGCCCGAAACAAGGTCGGGATACTTCTTCTGATTCTCTCAAGAGCGCTCGCCTCACACAAGCCAAGCATGCTTTGAAGCGTACGACTTGAGCACCACAACATGACGCTTGATGTTCTCCATTCTGGTACTTCACCAACTATTCAAAGAAACAAAGGAGAAGCGATCGCGTTACCACTTCAACAGGTGGTACTTAGAGCAAAGTTTCTGCAGCCTTGGCTTGGACACGGAAATACCGTGGTCGCCGCGTACGGGGAACCGATACCGACTTCTCCTCGCGGAACGGAAGACCATGGTCGACTTCCAAATTACGCCACGTACTTCCAACGTTGCTCTCTCGGAGCGGGCTCCGGGAAGATTCGAGCATCAAGATTTTCCCGCGTACGCCGCCACCACCAGCCGCCGAGTCTATCATCCACTTCCAACGACGTGCTCAGCGCGGACGTCATATTCCGATGACTGTCAAGACGAATCTCTCCTCGTCAGATCTAAGCCGCATCAGAACATCTTCGGCCACGGTCAGTTGGGAGTGGGGAAAACCTCCATCCAATCGTGCGTTACTTCTACGAGAACGAGAACTACCGCCGCCGTCGTAAGGGCTGCTCCTTCCTCTGCCGCCGCCGTCGTAAGGGCTGCTCCTTCTTCTGCCGCCGCCGCCGCCGCCGCAAGCACTGGCAAGCGTACTAAACCCACTTCGCCCAATCACTACTCGCACTGCAGATGACGTTTGAAGGTGACTCGTCCCTCTCTAGGGAGACATGATGGACTATTTAATAGCTCGCTGACGGATCCGAAAACATCGTCTCGCCAAAGGCAACGGAAAAGATGGTTTTCTTCTTGGTATGAGCTCCGAGACTACTTAGATTGAGAATCGATGGAATGCATTCGAACGATTCGGATCCGAGTCTCTGTGATGTGGTTCCCGTCTCTCGAGATTCCCCAGCGCCAACGAATTTCCTCCAGAGAGGACTCGCTAAAAATTCGATTTTTCTCCTCCCACAGCGATCGATTTTCTTCGTGTGCGCTCTGGCCGCTGCGAGCCTTGGAGCTCCCGGATACCAGCGACCCGACCCGCACTCTGTTTCTGAGGACTTCCAAGAATCTCCGAAGAAATACCGTTTTGCTTTCTCTTCGGAAGATGCCGAATCCAATCAACGCCGCGAGGAAACCGCTGACGACAATGGACACGTTAAAGGATCTTATTCGTTCGATCTCCCAGACGGGACAAAACGTCACGTGAAGTACATCGCCGACGAGGGTGGATTCAGGGTGAAGATAGACTCCAACGAAGCCGGCCTGGAGCCCAAGAATCCAGCCGACGTCAAGTTCATCGCTCAAACGAACGCTCAGCTCAAAGAAGAGCGTACCGATAGACACTCGGCGACTCACAGCTCTCAGAGCTGGTCGGATACAACGTCTGCTCCGCTCAAATCATGGTCGGACCGCTCTGCCGCTCACTCGACAAAAACATCGGCCCGTTATGGTGAGGCTGCTTCCCCCGCCCCTCTGAAGGCGTCGGGCTGGTCTGCCGCGACTCCAGCGCCTCAGAAGACTTCAGGTTGGTCCGATGGGCATCCTGCTCAGCTGACATCGACTGGTTGGTCAAACTCTCGCCAGAAACTGTCTTGGTCGCCCGAGACCGCTTCGGCTCTTAATGTGCAAGCCAACAAGTGGGCAGATGAGCTCCCCGTGAAAAACACCGCATGGTCCGATGATCGATCCGCCCCGCTCAAGAACGCGGGCTGGTCCGATTCCGACGCTGCTCGCAAGGAGAGCAAAACGGCAAGTCAGAGGCGGACTTGGTCCGATAGCGATAGCAGTCCCGCCAGCAACGATTGGTCCCGGCCGTCAGCCGCCTTGAAGCAGGCATGGCCTCAGGCCGCGGCGCAGAAAAGCGTCTGGTCAAACGACAAAGCTGCCCAGAAACAGGGTTGGGCCCCGAAGTCCGCCCCTCTACGAGAGAGTTTCCCCGATGTTCCCGTGAAGCGCGGCTGGGCCCCTCACAAATCCGCCACCGTCCGTCAGGGCTGGGGCGATGAGGAGTCGGGTGCTCAGAAGGTACAGGAATGGCAGTCCGACAACGTTTCCCCTAAAGAGTCCTGGTCGCAAAAACCGGCCGCTATCCAACAGTCTTGGGCTCCTCAGAAGTCTGCTGTTATCGGACAGGGCTGTGCTGATGAATCGGCCGATTTGAAACAGTCTGCTTGGTCAGAGAGCGCCGCCGCTCAAGAGCAGAAGCCGTGGGCTGAGAAGAAGTCTGCCGTCGCAGAGAAAGCACCGAGCGATAGCTCCGCAAAAAATCAAGGTTGGAACAACGAGGCGCAGGATTATGATTCTGTGGAAAACGTCCCTCGGCGAGGAAACCGCAAATTCGAGAGGCTCACGGCAGAATTAAACGAACAGAAGTCCAACGTCCAGTTGGAACTCCCGCACGCCGATAGGGTTGAGTGGTTCGCGCCCCCAGCTGTGAGGTCCGCTGCCCTCACTCGAAAGTGGTAGTCAAATTCTGCCCTCGCAGAATTCTTCGATTGGAATGTCCTTTCGTCCGTCCAAGCTTCGTACCTCGATAGCTTGAGGTGGATCTTCCTCCTTCACTCGTTCTAAATTCCCTTCTCGTGATGCTCTCAATCAATAAAGATTGAATTATTCTGATCCGTGCGGGACTCTTCCGATTTTGAACCTAACTTGTTCCCAGTTAAGTTCTGCCGACCCGCAACCTCGAATAAGCCACGAGATCCGTCTTCGGAGCGGTTCGATGATGGTTCGTCTTGGCACGTGAGGCCCCGAAACATACGTCAAGGTCTGGGGCTCAGTTATCAGCGGGCTCTGCTTTCGAGAACGTCGAGAGACTAAGAATACGGAACGAGATGGAAATAGAGTCGAAACGCATATGAGAATCAGGCTCTCTGACTGGAAGGGCCGACAAGAAATCCGAGCACAGAAGAGAGAGGGTCTAACTGAACGGGCTCCGCTCAAACAGGAAACAAGCGCTCCCAAGCGTGTCCCCCACGTGTAAATTCAATTAGCATGCAAAGGGATGCTCGCAGCATTTCGCTGTTGAGATCTTCTGATAGCCCCAGGCGGGTCGTCTGTGGCGGGAAAAAATCGCAAGAACCGAAGGAAGATCCCAAGCCGCACAAATTTCCCGTCCCATTAAAATTTTCTCGAACACTCGGGCGCTATTCCGCGGCTCGCGCATCGATTGCGAGGGTATTGAGATTGGTCATCGTGGGAACTATTCTAGACACCCCTGACCCGAATCGGACGAGAATGAAACGAGTTGAAAACTGGAGGATATAAAAACATAGCCGGAATGTTGGTGTTAATAGCTTTCGTTCGAGGGCGTCGAAAAGTGTCAGTGCTGCCGTGATTAACATGCAAATTGGATCACACGAAGCGCAGACGCTGCACCTCCTCAAAACGTGACTCATGGCGCGTGCTCGTGCGAGACAAGCAGCGAGTGTGCGGCTGTAACTTCATAGCTAGGTGTCAGCATCTCTCAACTCGCAACGCATTTCAATTTCGGGTCATCACAACGACCCGAAACCATCCGACATCAGCCCGAGCTCGCAATCTATTCGAGAGCCGGCATGCAATCTGAATTTTTTCGGCCGAGATAGAGGATCCATCCGGCTCTCGTCTTCGACGACGACGACATTTCATACTTGAATCGCTCCATATGCGGTCGACACCTTTGGTTATCGCTCTCGACTCTCCGAAAACGAGTTCCTCACCGTTTCCTGCAGGGATTACTAGCTATGTAGTACGTAGTTCAATCGACCCAAACGCCTGGAATAGTCAAAGAGTCGAGCGCACTTCTGGATCTGGAGGATCTCCCAGAGACCGTTGTAGTTATTTTCTGATGGTAGCCGATCCGAGCGTTTTCAGATTGGAGGCGTACCCGGCAGGCGTATTGAGTTTACGGGAGCGATCCGGAGGGGGCGGCTCCTCGCCAACAGAAGCTATCTGGGGATACTCGCAGAGCTCCTAGATATTCCTACGATAAGAGGGCGGTCCGTTGAACGTCTGTATATGTATGAGCAGGCGTCAGCACCTTCTCGCGCCGTGCTATTGCATTCGAAAATTGAAAGATTGCTGCGAGGACGCGAGCAGACTCCTGCATACAGGTAAACGGCTTCAGGCTCCATGGAGAAGGATACTGACTGAGACGTTTCCCCCCAGGACAAGCCGCCAGTCCGGCGGATGAGGTTCGAATTCCTCTGAATTCTCAGAGAAAAAATCAAATAATGCAGGTATGAAGTTCTCCCCCTGTCGGAACTCGGAGCGTTGATGACTCTTCGAGCATACCGCGATGATTCTAGAAGCCCGACTGAAGACCAGTACCCTGACTTCCGACGCAATGGCGATGAAATTAGAATGTCCGAGAGGATCCGAGTCGAGTGGGGCAGGGGGCGGAAACGAGAGCATTTGATTCATCGTCTAGAGCAGAAAATGGAAACTCGGCGATTCTTCCGATCCAAATGGAAAACGTCCATGGAACGACGGCTCCTAATGAAACCAGCGACCCTCCTTGGCCAAATGATTCATCGGAGATTCCCTCCTCTCTGCTCCGATGGCTGCTCGGACTTGACCGCCAAGGAGGTGGAAGACGATTTCACACAAAATAAGAGCTCTCGCTGATCTAGCTCAAGCCGAAGGATCGAGTTTGACCGGGAAAAAATTAATCGCAACCCATCCAGAGTTCGGGGGTGTGAGAACTTAGAGCGCGTGTGCTCACAAAAACCGGGCGAATCCATTAGCGAGACAGCAAACAGCGAACGAGGCAGGAAAAAGCGGGTTCGAGCAAGAGCGCAAGTCCTCAGCGCCTTGCTCCGGCAATGAAACGAACATTATTCAATGACGGATGGTGGAGGCGCCGAAGACATCTTCACATCTGTATCCATACAAGCATGGGTATAGAGCCTCTCGGAACGTATCGGCTCGGATTCGGGTCGACGCCCACATGCAAATGGTTCATATCGAAGATCAACAGGGAGGGAAAGTTCGGAAGCCCGGCCCCGCTATCGACCGTTCCCGAACGAGGAACTCCAGAGCTGTAGACCGATTGAGCTTTCGAGCGAATGAGGGCGACCGTTGCAGTGAAGACGATACAAACGGCAGGCATCTTCAAAACACGCGTCTCCACTCGCGGTCGGAGCCAGGAGCACGCAGTTCCCTCCGACCGCGCACGTGGACGAGCGGGCACGCATCATTCGTCTCAAGCGGGGCCAATGTGATTATTCACAATGGAACAAGAAGAGGGGTAACTTAGCACCGGCTTGACCAAACGAGGAAGCGCTCATGAATAATTCAGTGCTCGGCTCGTGATTAAATTTCCAAAATGTATCTTGTATGGTCGGTGGAATCCGACTACAGGAGGGAGTGTATGCGTACATGTAGATAAGGATAGTGTCCGGAGCGACTCGTATAACTACAGCATCGGTGGTCTGATACAATCGTCCGCTCATGTCTGTCTCTACCCCGCTCTCTTCTATTTCTTCTCCTCCCGATCCATTCCGACGGATCCTTGTGATGGGTGCTGAGAGGTGACCCGAGCATTACGTATCATGGTGGCTGGTTTGGGCGAGCCGAATAGTGTCTCAGCTTTCGCATGCTCCTTGTCCCACCATTCAGTAGCTGATTGAATGCTCGAAGGACGCGAATGGAGCTGATTTTTCGATTTAAACGCATGGTTGTGTCACATGACCACCGCGTTGAAGCACACGGCGTTGATTGCACTTTTGTTCGTTCTCGAGTTCAGCCGGGTCGAGGATGGTGTCCCCCTTCTGGAGAGTTACGGGAAGAATCGAAGTTGCGCCTTTCTTCTCAGCTCTCGACTTCCGGAGAGAATTTCCGCTTGTTTCCTCGCGCTCCACTGCCTGAGCAAACAAGACCCCACTCCTCGCCGGCCTGCCTGCCTGCCTGTCTTCCGTCGGAGGCGAAGTCGTCGTCAGAGAGAAAGGAGCCGAGCCTTCCCCTCGGCGTGAACGAATATTTGCCGAAGGAAACGATGGACACTTTCTTTGGGCTTTTTTTTATTGCCGCCGAATACCACCCGCAAAGTCTCGAAGAGCAGTGGCAGCAGCCGCCGCCCGCAGCCGGAGAGAAACCCGTTCAAATCCGTCCTTTGCCTTATTGGAAGAGGTCAATAACGAATCCCCGTGGCAAGACTGATCCGTCGGCCGCGGAGATTTGCCAACGCTCGAATCCGATTCCCCATTCCGATTTTCTCTCGACAGCCTTCCCCGCTCGTCCCGGACATCGCCTGGAGCCGGATAAGTTCTTCCGGACGACGCTTTCTTCCTTCGGGATTGTGTAAGTTCCGAGTGCTTCCGATCGCTCCGGTCGTTACGGCCACGCAACGAGGAACAGCATCTGAACATATCGGGATTCGTGCGACGCGACGCCGCACCGGAGTCAGATTTCTTTGGAGACGCGAGCAAGCGAGCGAGCAGTAGTGAAGTCAACGGGAGATAGACTTGATTCCTGCTTGCGAGCGAACTTCCGAGGAACAAAGGAGTTGTGACTTGTGACGAATATCCGTCGGGGCATCGAGGAGGAGAGGAAGACGCGAGAGTAAGACAAGAGGAAGGCGTAGAGCGAATAAGATTGCCACCAGCTGAAAGAGGATATTTGGCAGCCGCTTCGGGGTGCCTTTGGTCACGCAGCCAGCAGCGAGTCAGCCGGACCGGCTCTGAAAGCGGCGAGGTCACTGCATACATAACGAGTCATTGGAAGAGAAAGTCTCGCGTAGTTTGTGTGAGTTTGGCTATGTGGAGGACCCCACAGGAAGGATGCGGCCCTCTCGATAAGGATATCTCGGATGGCGGCAGCCAGTAGGACGACCGACGACTAACCGAGCCACCAGACGGCTTCCCGCCTCGCTCCCCTTTTCCAAGGCAGCGGAAGTAAATTGCGAGCCATGTGAACATCCATCAGATATCTCAGACAATCCTTCCGTCCGACCCGGTGTCCTCGTTCGTCTGCTTGCCAACTCCGCGAAACTCTCTCCTTCTTCGGTGTCTTGCGAAAAGCCCCATTTTCCATCTAGCTACTACTCGAATGCTTTCCCTCGCTCATCCTGCGGGAGATGGGGGCGGGAGTCCGAGGGCATTTCGAATCACAGCCTTGAACTTTCGTCGCGGCACAATGAGTCAGACGCTGAGCACACGGAAACAAGCTTCGAGGGACACTAGGCCCTTAGAAATATTATCCGCTCGCTTGCTTCCGTGTCGTGGAGAAGCGACAGTCATGGCCCGAGGCCTAGCGAAACGAAGAACGCGGCTTTGTGCTCACCAAGGGAACACAATGGACTCTGTACACCCTGTCCTCGAGGTGTCCTTGTCGTCGTTGTCGCCACCGTCATCATCGCAAGAGCAACGGTCCGTTCACACCTGCCTGGCTATTGCTCTGCACACACGAGCTTAAGTTATATTAATGTTACTAAGCCTCTTCTCTCATCCGATTGTGGGCTTTGTTGGTGACCGACCGCGGAAGCA